GTTGTTTACGAGTTTTGTTTAGCTTAAAACGCTCCTCGACTTTTTGTCAAGTTCTAGATGGGCTAACGACTAGCATCAGTATTAAATCTTGGTTAGACGTGCTTAAAAGCCGACCAGTTCTTCGATTTGAGGTCTTTCGGTTTGTTTTATTGTACGCTTTCGCTTAGTAAAAGATCTGTTTAACGGAACTGGTAATTCTTGATTTTTTGCTGTTGCAGTACACTTGCATTTGGAGCTGCTGCTTTGGCTATTTGCCATCTGATTCCAGTAGGGCTGCTTAGTGGTCGAAAAGGCTGTTTGTATGTAAAGTGGTAGAGTTTTCTGAATGAGTTTTAAATGTGCATTTGACGGGGTTTTTGTTACTGGGACTAGTTTAAAGCTCTTCTGCTTTAACGTGGCTTTTGCGCCTTAATTTTTTTCAAGCCACTGTGGTAAACCATGCAAATTTTAGGCGGTTACTGTTGTCAGTTCTAGCCTCTTCCTCTCAATCAGAGTTGTAACTTTTTTTTAATAGTCAATTTGCGTCATAGGTTTCTTTGATGCGAAAGCGTATACGTTTCCGTTTCGGATCTAAAACTTTTTTGACGTCTTGCATTACATTTATTTCAGTACTCGGCTTTTTAAATATAATTGTTTTTAATAGCTGTCTAAGCTTTTTTTGAACTTGCCGAAGTTGAGCTCTTAGATTGACGATTCATGCTAATTTGAAATGTATCTACGTTATTATCTCGACGAGAAAGGAAATAAGGTGTACACATTGAAGGTAAGTTGATTGAATAACCCTTTTTTTCGAAATCTTTAGATTTGTAGCTTTTAGAGCGTCTGCCATGCAATAACATTTCTTAACCTTATCAACATCGTTTGCAGAAGGTAGATCCAAACGACCGTCCGACATTATCGGCACATCCCGCGCGTTTTTCTCCTGAAGATAAATATTCTCAGTATCGAATAACCATAAAGAAGAGATTTGGTTTATTGCCGACTATGCAGGGGAAACCCCTTTACTAGTGCAATATGTATTTTTGGGAGTGGAGAAGGCGTTGGAGGCAAGCCTACCGTAATTGGCGTCCTCTTCCTTCCAATTTGGATTATAGGACAATCACTAAAAGGTAAATAAACCTTTTACACGAGGTGGATGCATTAATTTTGAGACTTCAGGACTGTGGTTATCAGGCAACTGAGGGTTTAAAAAGAATTGTAGTGTTGTGTTTTAAACTGACCTTAACTTATTGCAATGTATTTTGTTTCTTTAAACTGAGGAAATGAGTAATTTTTGTTGATTTAGAACAGTTTTCCTTGGCTTACCGCAGGGTCGCCTTTCAAAAGATTTGTAATTTTTTTCAGGAAAATTATCATTGCTTTTATTTGTTTTTTTATCGGTTGGAAATCCCTTGGCATCATGTTAACAGAGAAGATTTTGTGGCAGTATGATGAAAAATTAGGAAAGCCTCGTATGCTTAGCGTCAAAGAAGCCAAGGACTTGAAGAGGAAATCTGTCGAAGAAGCGAGGAGTAGTAAAGAAATGAAATTTTCGTTTCCTCTGGATGATTAGTAAAAAGTTACAGTGTAATTTCTTCAAGCTGATGTTTAAGTGGTTTTTTTTGGCTCATCTTGCATCACTCCTCGGAATGTCGTCAAAATTGACTTTTCTTGTTATTGTTTTCGTGGTGTTTAATTGTTTGATCGCATTAATATTGTCGTTTCTTAGATAATCTGTATTTTCAAGGAGCTGTGCGTTATGAAGTGAAATTATTGACTGACAGTTTGGATTATGACGTTTGTCTAATGTTTATCCACGTGTTAATAAAATATTTTTGTACACCTAATGTAAAAGTAGCAAGTTTATCAAGTTTATATGCAAGCTGCTGTAAGAACAACTACTGACTTGGTGTTAGCAGTGAATTTCATATCAAAAATGATTGAGTTTACGAGTTCTAGCGATGTTTGAATGTGCTTTAGAAACTTGCAGGCCGCTGTGGATGATTTGCCGAGGTTGCTGATTTTACTCGCTGACCGACCATTCTTGCTCCATAGTTTGTACGGGAAACTTGGAGGAACAGTGTTGGTTTTGACGCAGGTTGGCAGCACATGAGGTACGAGGCATGTATTAAATACGCCCCTTTGTCTGGTAGGACTGTGAAATTGTTGTTCTTCTATATGGTGCAAGTTGGAACTTGTATTCCATGACATCTTGTTAAGAAGACGATGAAAAAGTTTTCCATCCAAGAGGGGATGTTGAGCCTGAAAAGTTCTAGGAAAATTAGATTAAACGATTCGTTAATTTCAGTCAGTGCATGGTCCAGCCAGTTTCTTATCCATCTTTTCTGGACCTGTCATTTGAATATAGAGGCTGCTATACGCATTTCACTGTCACGAAGTTTGGAAATCGTGACTTTGTAGCTGTGTCAAATTTGGGCCGGTTTGGGCAGCTAGTAGAGGTAATTCGGCTTTTTTTTTTAGCTGGCTGAAGCTTATTTAATTAAGGCATTCAACTGGTATTCTCGAGTCAACTAACTGTTATTTTTAACTCGTAGGTAATTTTCCCTCATCGTCTAATAGCAGATCTGTTGTTTGAGGAGCACAATTTTGAGTATGATACCCGGACACTGTTAGGGGCACCAGTGGTGAGTTTGAGTCTTTGTTCTGTTAGTATCCTGGAATAAGAAATCTCTGATATAATCTTATATTTAGGAACTTATTTAAATACTTTTTTGTTAATTTTTCCAGAAATATAGAGAGAATTTGTGGCTAGTAGCCAGTTTTGGGCACAAAACTAAATTCGCTCATTTTTTTGAAGAAGTGCTTGCTCACCTGCTTGTTTCTAGATGTTCGATTGAATCAGCATCTTTTAAGGATAATTCTGACTTGTTGCTTGACCGTATTGTCAGAGTTTTTGCTAAATACAACAGACGTCGAAATGCTATTTTCGCCATTGGTCTTAAGGAACTGGACTTGGATTATGCCCATAAAATTGTCGAAACACTGGAGGAATATTTTGTTAAAAAGTCGGAAATACAATCCCAGTGAAGGCAGTGTGCGTCACTTATGTACTTCTTGTGCTTTGAATTCCGCAAAGGCGCAAAAGGAGCGCTCTAAAAAGGGTATTTTTCTCCCAGAAACAGCATTTAAAGTTCATATAAAAACAGTCGAGCGAAGTGGGCTGGATGCCGAAATTGCGTCTGTTGGAGGTTTTAATAGTTTCTACCAGTGGCAGTTAAACGATAGTTCACGAGAAGGTCTTCCCTTGTATGTTGTTAAGTTAAATCGTTTGAATGAAATAGTTGGCTGGACCATTTGGGAAAGCAAATTTAAATTAAATTTAAGTTTATTTTTTTATTTTCTTCCAAATAGTCAAGTGATTATCGAAGCCCATTCTCTCTTCACTGCTTAGTTCACTTTTTACCAGGTTGGTATTTTTTGTGAAAGAGAGGCTGCTAATCTGTTTTTCTGTTGATTTTATCATTATTTTGTCAGAAGTGGTTTAGATTTGTCCTGATGGATGGTCCTCCATATGCAAATGGTGATGTTCATATAGGACATGCAGTTAATAAAATTCTGAAAGACTTTGTTTTACGAAGCCGTGTTTATGCAGGGAACAGGGTTCAGTTCATACCCGGGTGGGATTGCCATGGTTTGCCCATTGAACTGAAGATCAGCAGGGATGCCGAAGAGGTCAATTTAATTAAGTCCTTTTTCAATTCGAATCAATTCTCAGATTTTGCAAGGAACGTGTTTAGGCGTTGTCACCAATTGAAATCAGAAAAAGAGCTCGCAAAGTTGCTGAGAGGTCTATGAATGCACAGAAGGCATCTTTTAAACGTTGGGGTGTTATGGCAGATTGGGATAACCCGTATTATACGATGCATCCGAGCTATGTAGCGAAGCAGTTAAAATTTTTTGCTAAGTTTTACGGAAAGGGTCTGGTCTATCGAGCCTATAAACCAGTTTACTGGTAAGAAATATGAAAAATAAAATTTGTTAATGAAAAAATCAAACCATTAAGTCGTTTTACCTCAAAGGAAAAAAATGCAGACTTTTGTTCGATCTAATGCTTTTTAGCAGTTTTGCTATTAGATTTATTCGTGCAGTAAATCATTCGCTATCCCTTTAAAATTAATACTCCCACAAGTTTTTAAAATTTTTTTTATCTAGGTCCCCAAGTTCTTTGACAGCATTAGCCGAATCTGAACTGGAGTACAACCATAATCATGAAAGCACTGCAGTTTATTTCCGGTTTGAGGTGCTCTCTTTTTAGTACTGGTTTCACACAGTAATACTTGATACTTTGAATTTTTTTCTTCTTTTTTGAGGTTACTCAGCTGACTCACTTTTCGTGGTATAGGTAATCAATGGGCACAGTTTAGTACAGCATCTAGCAACTGATAAAAGGCCTATTAAGTTATTTGCTGTTATATGGACAACAGTTCCTTGGACACTTCCACTAAATGATGCTATTGCGTTTAAGCCGGGAACTGAATACGCACTTCTGGAACTGGTCCCTCCGTTTAGGTACGCTGCTTCTTTCCTTTATAACTGCCATTTTTAAGCTGATCTAATACAGATAGAATATGCTGTACGGAAAATCAGACTCTAGCTAGGTTCTAGAATTTTAGGGAAAAAACGAGGTGTGTTTATCTCATTGCCAAAAATTTGGTCGAGGCGTTCAAAAAAAAGATGAACCAGAGCTGGCAAATGCTCGGAGTGGTAAAAGATGATTGTTTGGAAGGCTTGTGGTATCACTGTTGTATGTTTGTAGATATAGCAAGGCCATTTGTCTCTTCAAAACATGTAACTACCGATACTGGCACTGGTCTTGTACATGTCTCTTACGCACATGGGTTTCAAGATTATGAGGTACCACAATTAAAATGTCGGGGAAAGTTGCTATTTTTTCATAAAATTTTTTCAGATCAGTGTAAAAAGAGGTGATAAAGTTTACTGTTACGTGAATGAATTTGGGAAATATTCGCGGCAATTGGGGTACGGTTTGGAAGACAAGTTCGTGCTTGGCGAAGGACAAGATGAAGTTTTAAAAATGCTTAAAAAACATGTTTTATTAGCTTATCCGTACGTCCACTCATATCCCTACGACTGGAGAACAAAAAAAGTTAGGTTCCTCATGAAACTGTTCAGATTTAATAAAAATTTGGAGTTGAGCTGAAATATTTTTACGCTTTTAATTGTTTGACTCAGTGAACCTCGTACTCAAAGGCTGTATTTATTGAGAACTGGAGTCAAGACATAATTTTCATGTTTAATCTAATTAATATGAAGCTATAGTAGCTGATTATATACTTTTAAAGCTCTTTATTTGATTTTTCTATACCTTAACTTTTAGCCGGTAATAATTCGTAGTAGTGCGCAGTGGTTTATCGACACAACCACTTTGGCAGAAGAGGCTGTGAAATTAATAGAAAATGAAGAGATTGAAGTCGGGACTCCTTTTACTGGTAATTAGTGGTTGTTCATTGACACCTTTTGAAGTTATTCCATCAGCAGAAATACGTATTTTGGCCATGTATAATATCACGAAATAACTCCTCTTTTTCAAATATTGAGATATGCGGAACACGCTAATACAAGTTCTGCAAGGCCGCTCATCCTGGTGCATATCGAGGCAGCGTTGTTGGGGTGTACCGATTCCTGCACTGTTTAAGGAAGACAAAAGTGTATTGATGTCACAAAGATTTGTTGAACACGTAGCTGACAAAATAGAACGAGAAGGCTCTGATTCTTGGTGGAGTTCCGACGTCCAATCGCTTCTTGAAGATACAGTAGGAACATGATGTTGTCGTACAGAGCATCAATATAATCTTCTGTAGCCAGTACTGTATACTCGTTTAGTTCGCTAAGGAGTTTGATTTGAAAGGAAATGAACGGATACAGAAGGGGACAGACGTAATGGATGTATGGTTTGATAGCGGTCTAGTTTGGGGGTGTGGACGATATGAACATTTACCTGCGGACTTAATAGTTGAGGGTAATGATCAGTTTCGCGGTTGGTTCCAATCTCTCGTGCTAACATCGCTAGCTTTAGAAGTGAGAGTTAATCTTGCAATGTACAGCGAAAGTTTTTCCCCAGTATATTTTCTAGTTAAATATTTCCAGAAATATCCAGATGCAGAGATGCACTTTTTTGGTGATAAATTACCTCCTTAATTTGGTTTCTTCAACTGCTGCTTTTTATAATTAATATTTCCTGCTTTAGAATGCAATACCGTTCAAAAAAATTTTGGTTCATGGCTTTGCTGTGGATGGAGAAGGAAAAAAAATGTCTAAATCAGTTGGCAACGTCGTCTTGCCTCATACAGTTTGCTTTTAATACCAAATTTTCATTAACACTAGATTGATGAGTAATGTTTCCGGAAATTTTAGTTTTTCACACTAATTGTTTATTTCCTTTCCGTTTATAGATTAAATATAGGAACAGAACCAACTACCATGTATTCTCTATTTCTGAAACTGCACTCCTTTGCTGACGTCCCAAACCCAATTTTTATCGGATGCGTCTTAGGTTACGGACGGGTCTTTACATTCAAAAGCGTTAGGCGCTGACGGTCTTCGACTGTGGGTTGCTTTGCACGGTAGCAGCGGCGAAGCCAGGTTAAGTTCTGAAATCGCTCAGGAAATTGACAGGACTTTAATTGCTATACGAAGTTCGTTCCGCTTCTTGCTAGGAAGCCTCAAAGGGATAGGAGAAAAACGCGAGAATTTGTCGCCGTACTTCATCGATCAGGTAAGCGTTGTTATTTCCAACGGAAATCAATTGCACTTTCTAGCTATTATTTTAATTTTACAGTATATACTGCAAGAAACCAATAATTTCACTCAAAAATGCTTAACAAATTATATGAAGTTCAAATTTCGATCAGTGGCAAATGACTTTATTCAATTCCTGCAGCGCCCTTTGAGTGCGAACTACATAGTAAGTGACCTACATTGCTTCTAATCGTACTTTTATGGCACCCTTTAGTACTGTCTACATGACACATACTGTACCACATACTGTAATAGCTAAATTGGGCATTTTCATAGCGCTTTGTCAAAGACCGACTCTACTGTGGCTGCAAAACGGGCCGTCAACATGCTCAAGAGACCCTCTCAAGTGTCGGGCTTAAATTAGCTGCTTGCATCGCACCTCTCCTCCCGCATCTGGCAACAGAATTTTTCATGTTTCATCCCCGTACAGATGACCCTTCTATGTCGATAAGGTAATAGTTTATTTCTGATACGCCATTCGCCGAAAACCAAAGTTTCTTGTAGAAAATGTAACTATGATCTCATTCGTGCGAATGAAGATCCAAGCAGTGAATTCCTTGAAACAGTAAAACTGATGGATGCTATAAGACAGAAGCTGCATAAAGTCACGGCAGGAAAGGACACAAGCAAAATGGTATAATAATTGTGCGCTTTATGGTACTCAGCACTTAATTATTCTCTGAAACTCTACTTTTTAGGGTATTGAACTCAGTTGCTGCAAAGATGATATGGAGAAATTACGTAAATTACAGAAGGACGACCGCAGTTTCTCATCGGAACTAGTTGAAGCTCTCGGAGTTTCAACCGTTCTGCTAAAAGGGCAAGAAGCAACAGATTTCTCGCTACGAATGGAACACAGCCCACTGCTATTTTGCAATCGATGTCGAAAGCACAGAAGAGTTGAAGGAGAAGAACATTGCAGCCCATGCACAAAAGCCCTAGCAGAATATGAGCTGTAGTGCTTCATCCAAAATATAAACAATTTTATACAATGAAAGTGAAGTAAATTCAGGCAGACTACAAATTTAGTCAATAATGTTCAGTTCCTTGCCCTCAAATAGAAATGTAGGCAATAAAGAAACAATAAAGATAATAAATTTTGATTAACACTGCTTTCTTTTCCAATTCACATACTTCTAAGAGTCCATTCCCTACGCCCAACTTTAAAAAACCCTTTTCTTTAACAGCTGCGCAACATAAATCACACTGTAACACTATACTGTTGAGCAGCAACACCTTGCCTCAGTCTCAGATTCACAGCTTTGAGCCATTTAGAGAGCCTCCAACGCTTCCACTGAGAAAACTCATCCTGTTCAAATGTACTCAAAAACATTTCCCTACCACAGGCTGCTAAGACATAACTAAAATAATATTGACCTAACTTTGAATGACAGCTGTTTTCTCTACTCCTCTTTTACAAATGATATTGAAAGACGGTCTTTGTGCTAAAAATCGTAAAAGTAAAATAGCCAAGGAATTCAAAGAAAAATCAAAATATACAAGATCAGTCTCTATACATATACTCGCATTTTAATTTTAAGACCGTTCCATCCTCCACAGTTTTGTGGTCAGGAAGCCATCAAAATTCACAGGAATCGTCTCGAAGAGAACAATGAGGTAAAATCTGAATGTCTTTAGAAGATCGTTACTGATGCAATCAAACCATTGTTCATTACCTAGAAGTACACCCATCACCACCTCTAGTAAAACTTTTCTTCTAAAAAACAAGGGAAAACAGAAAAAGAACTGAATTTAAAATTACGAACTTGCCTCGACAATAACTTGATCAGTACCGTAACAAAATGTAGAGTCAAAAATATTTTCACTAGCACTGCGGTTCAAGACAACGGGCTGAACGGCATCGTCTTCTTCACCAGAAAAAAGATCAATAAACTGGTCTCTCTGAAATGCGAGAAAGTACGGTCGACCGAAAGATAATGGACTACTTAGAAAATAACTCAGTAAGTTAAGCAACTTAAACTTCTATGTAGAAATTTAACAGTGTAGCGCCAAGCATGCGATTAACATACCGTTGAAGTGGATGTCAAAGTGACCTGCTTGGTCCCGACACTAATCGAGAAGTTACAACGGGCATAGCTAAAAAAAACCCGAACTTTTTAATCAAAAAATTAAACTGCCGACGATACTAAATGCTTAACAAGTAACTTACATTCCAAAATCAAAATGACCAGGCATATTAGTATGTAAGACAAATTTTTTCACCCGATTCGTATGATAGTCAAATAAAACATCCTAGAAAAAATGAAAATAAAAAGAAGGGTCTGCTATGCAGAAAAAAGGTTCTCATTTCCAAAAATTACCAGTCCTAAGGAAAAATAGTTGAAGAAAAAGTGAGGTTGTGTCTCGCGCAAACGTTCCGATTCGTTTCCTCGATGTACCATCATTTGTTCAGCGGAACGATAATTTACCTTTGAGGGAGCACCAAGGGCAGATAAAACAACCTAAACCAAAAATTCAATTTTAACGCTTACCTTAAGGAAGCCAATAGGAAAACAGATAAAGGTCTCGATATCTAGAAAACGTCATTAAAAACATACTCTACGAATATAGCATATTACTACTCTCCCAAAATCTGGTTTTTAAATTCCACTTAAAAAAATGCAAAAAGGAAAAAAAAATTTATCACACTGAAGCATTGGAACAGAGAGTCATTTGAATCAAAATTTGTCCGGTTCCTAGATATTGACTTCGCCAGCTTTTAGAAAAACGTCTTATTTAAATTTGAAGAAATTTAAAAATCTCTTTTTTAGAACGGTAGACAATACCTCTGTAGTGTCACCAAACCGAATTCGTCTCTCAAACTGTTTCAAAGGGAAATCTGCACCACGTGAAGTGATTGGACCATGCTCTAAAAAATATAACACGAATGACCAGCAAAAAAAAATCTAAGGATAAAAAAATGTTTGTAGACAACCAGTGCAGCTTAAGTTCGTTGACAATAGCTAAACTTACTGAATCAGAAAAACGACTGCATTCTTTAAACAAACCTTGCGCAGAAAAAGCAATATCCAACCCGGATATTCTACTGCTATCAGAAAAAGATTTTACCACTGTGGGCAAACACATACCACATACCATTGACCCAGGACAGGATGGCAGTCTGTAGAAAAACACAAATTTTAAAATTTAGTAGACTGTTAATCGCCACTGTAAAAAAATTCTTATTGAAACACAGCAAGACTCAGTTTTGAAAAAACATGTCTAAAGGAAGTTAAAATTTTTGAGAAATAAATTAACTGTTAATTAACAACTTCGAGTAAATCTTATGTAGCAGATTAATGCTGAAACGAAGAAACACAAATAACCACTTCTCAAACCAACTTTGGAGCTGCAGACTGCCCTTTAAAAATTGCCATCTTGACAGGCATAGGTGGCGAGGAAGCAAACTGCAGCGAACCGATCTTTGTACCTTTTACATATGATGTCTTAAAATACATTAACTCAACTCTCTAAATGATATTTTGCCCAAAAATAGTACTATTGAAAAAAAATTGAAATAAACAACATCAAGGTCCACAAACTTGTAAAGTAGAAGTATCCTTAGGCGCTGGAAAACTAAATGAGAGCCCGCGCCAATTTAACTCGTAAAGCCGGTTTTGTTCATCATATACTGTAAATCAAATTCCTCTAAAACTCTCATCTCATTACAGAGCATAAGCAGTATGCATATTTCAAAGTAAATACCTCCGGGGTGTGTCGCACCAAATGAGGCTTCGGCCTTAAAAATGTCTGCTTCTTTACCGGGCTGAGAAAATATTCCCGTACTGTAATATAAGAGTTGAAACAAAATTTTATGAAGGCTGAAAAATCATAATATCTCAGCTCTACACTACGAAGCTGAAAAAAAGTCCGAAGCTTTCAAACCTCCAAAGTTCCTCCGAGCTCATAGATTTAAAAAGTAAAAAGATAAAAAAAAAAGAATTAGAAACTGCTCAAACAAACCAAGAGCGAAGTGTGATATTAGACAGATCGTAAACTTCAATTAACTGAAAACAGATCACTAAGCCTATAAGCAAAACGACTTATTTATACATTTGTTTATTTATTTGCTTACTTCTTTTTCTCCAAATGGTAAAGAAATGTACCTTTAACAGCTGTGTGTTTGGGTCAAAATACAGTCGCAAACCATCAGCTGGCAACCGAATAACAATGTCTTTGATCAAAGGTTCCTAAAATACCGCAGAAAAACAATTAGAAGTCTAAACAATTCGAAAGCAAAAATGGAATGAATTAAAGGAATGAAACACTAAAACAGAAAGAAGTCGGAAGTCAAAATGCTAAGCCTTCACAAGAAATACAAAACCTTTGAAAACTGACAAATCCTAACCAAAGGTAGTTACTAAGAAAAAGTGAAAATTAAAAACAAATAAAAAAAAGTGTTGATAATAATAACAACAATAACAATAACAGTAAAAAAATAACAATAATAACAATAATAATGACAGTAAAAACCACGAAAAAAACAATACCGTAGCTGAGTATGCAACTTCAACTTTATCGATAAGACGAAAACAGTCCTGTATAGCAGCCAATACTTGGTTTATAGGGGTGCCCAAAGCTAATTCTAAAAGATCACTTCGAAGGCCATATTCAGGTACAACTTCAAAGTCAAGCATCGAAGATAACTGAAAATTAA